TTTTTTTTTCGGTCAGTCACGTACGCATACAAAAATGCTTTTAAAATAATGGGTGGCTATTGTGAAACTGCAATGCATTAAGTCACTTCCCCATGAATGATGAGTAGTAAAACAATTTAAATGGGTCATTTTGTTTTGTTTTGCAAAGCCAGAATGCCACTGCAACATTATTATAAAAGAAGGAAGAGCACAAGTTTAGTTTTTCTGGTGTTTAGGAAATATCTATCACACCGCATTATTTCTTATTGACAAGCCGAGTCATCTTTCTAAGCGGCCAATAGCCATCGTAGATGTCACACATTTTTTACCACACAAAAAATTTAATATAATAAAAATAAAATAAGTTTCCTTATGATAAACAAAAATACAGAATGTACTTGACTACAATGTACTGGACTTTCTACAATGCTGAATCTTCACATACATCATACAGCTCATTAATATTTTTTTCTTTATTTTTGGTTTTCTTCTTTTTCCTTTCCCTGTAGAGCCCAGTGTTACTGAAACAGCATTAATTGCAATACCAGTGTGCTCAGCACTCGCAATCCTCTTAATTGTAGCCACTATTTTCATCTTTAAATGTAGAAAAAAGTGTTGCTGCACATCAGGTCAGTGTGACTGTAATTTATTATTTTCCTGTTTTATATTTATCATAGAGATCAAAAATGAAAATGTTGTCATCATTTACTCACCCTTTAACTTTCTTTTCCTGCAAACACATAAGTTATTTATTTATTGTAATGTCCTGGCTGTTCATTTCCATATAATGAAAGTAAATGTGAACTGGTGTGGTTATTCTCCAAATTGACTATCATCAAGAAGTTTGATCCATATGACCATATGAGCAATAGCAATAACTAAAATGTAAACATTTACTGAAATTATACACATTTTGAGTTATGACTGAAACTGGGTCTGAAATTATGATCTGTTCAGTGGCAGATGAGGTTGGCTCGAGATTCAAGATGCTCAGTGAAAATGGGATGAGAATAAAAACTCAAAAAGTCATTCACTACAGTTAGAGTAGTTACTGTATGTTGCCTTTGTAAGATACTATTTATTTTAAAATGCATAAGTAAAAAAAAAAGAGAGAGAGAGAGAGAGAGAGAACAGAACAGAATTTTGACATTTGACATGCCTACTCATACTTTGCATTTGCTCTTTTGCAGACGAACCCATCTACGCCAATAAGATGGTCATAATTCAAGGAAATAAAAGGTCACAGGTGGGCAGAAGGACTCCAGATAATAAAACCAGATAAAGACCCTCTAATTAGCAAAGAGCTAAAAACCCAGGATGCTGCTGCAGCAAATAAACTACCTTGGTTTTCCTCAGAAACAAATGTATAGGGTGCTAAAGTGACGATGACATGGTTTTGTAGGCCATCCTGGAGGTTCACATCACCCTGATTCCCTTCACAACAGGCCAATAGGATTTTTTCATTGGTTTTGGATAATTGCAGAAAATAAGATCTGTGATTCTTACCCATTTTGTTGAAGCCTAAATACAATCGGTACAAGTTAAAAGCTAAATATAGGCTATAAATGAACTATACCATGGTCACATGACTTCAACGTCACCACCATTAAGCTTCTGACAACTCTTTCAGTTTTTTATAAAAAAAAAAGAAAAAATTATATGAAATTTTGAGCTGGAATACTTCTGGCAAGAGTGCAGTTATAAACACAATGAGGCTGTAAAAGTTGACTAGAGAGTAGATGAGTTTTCCTGTTCGCCATGACAATGTTTAATGTCCCTGAATAACCTCTGTAGTCCCATTCAGCCACTTGTTAGTAATAGTCTTTTTTAAGACATTTAAAAGCTTGAAAAATCATGTGTGGGGTATTACTGATATATTTTATGTTGTCGAATAAAACATGTCTTGGACTTGTGTTAACCACATACCTTATTTCAGGCATTTAACCAAAAACCCATTCAAAAAACCCACTGACTTCATATCAATGTATTTTGGTCTACAAAAATACATCATCCCTCCTGCGTTCTATTAATGTTGGTGTGACGTTATAGTCGTGAGCTATAGAGTGTATATAATTCTATTCTTTAATGAGAACACTTTTTTTCTGGAATGGTAGTTTATGATTTAGTGATTATATTTCTATTGTTTCGTTGTTGTTATTTAAGTGTGGATATTATACATTGGCCTAGTTCACCTCTGAAATCTTTGCTTTCCACTGAGATTGAAGCAAATTATCTTTGAAAACCTGAAGTTACGATTTCCTCTCACTGTTATAAGAGCAAACATAGGGGTCTGAAAAGTCTCTAATCTAGCAACAGTGTCATCCAGCTTGCAACAGCAGTTCTGTGGTGATCTATCTATTGCTATAGTTGCTGTAGCAACAGTGGTTTACTGACCTCTTTCTAACAAGAGAAAATGTTGTAGATGTGTGCTTTACTAAATGTGTGCAGTTTAAGTTGCTGCTTAACCAACAAACTAAATAATGAATAAACTAACAACGTGAGTAGTAAATCTAAATTTGTTTTCTTTTAAGGTGAATGTGATAGATGAGCCCAACAAGTTTGTGACATCTGTGGTGTGTTGTGGTCAAGGCTGTCGCTATGCAGGAAAATTTGGCACATGCTTTTTAGTTGTCATCTCACTTACAGTAAACTCTGATCTATGGAGCCATCTTTTGTGTTGTCTGTGGTTATGGTCTTATGCAGGGGCACCTGCAGGGTTTCATCTGAGGGTACGCACAGAGTTACAGAATTTTTATTTATTTTTTTTATTTTTTTATTTTTTTAAATGAAGGCTTCTCTAGACACCTTAAAACGCTTTTAACCCTGAAAATGGCAAAAAGCAACAGAATGGTCAAAGACATCCTAGCCCATGTTCACAGGAAAACAACTGAAAAAAACAGCGCGGGTGGACACACACACACACACACACACACAAAAACAATTCTGTGTGAATGGCGGCTTATTCACATCAGCACAGCAGTAGCTGAATTTTTTTAAGTTAACTTTCAAAATGTAGTCTTTTGTTTCAGTTGTTTGTAGTTTATTATGCACTTCATCCATCACAGATTGGTCTCTGTGGTCTTGTTTGTTTTACTGACTGAGAAATCACTTCAGATGATTCAACATAGGCAGAGGGTGAACCATTTCCAGGATATAAGGCTAAAAGTAGCTTAATGTTTGTGTATTCTATTAACTAAGCACATCATAAACGTCTTTTAGGCAAGTACCAGATCATGTCATAAAATATTTCTGTTACAAAACCAAGAATAAACCAGACCAAAGTGACAGAACCCTGACTCTACCCCCCTCAAACGGGACGCCCGCTGGCATCCCCAATGAGGGACACCAAACACAAGACTAACAGACACCAACACATCACATGACAACATAAGACAATAACACAATAAACAGAAACACACCATCACAACAACACAAGACAGACAAGGGTCAGACCACATAAAAAAGAAGGGGAGGGAGGGAAACCAAGGTGGTGCTGGAGGAACAGCCCAGGAAATCTTAGGACAGTTCCGGACCAATGCGGACAACCAGGGAGGGATGGGAGGGTTGAGCCAGGGGGGATCCGCGGTGGCAGCAACAATAAAGTTACGCCTTCTTTCTTTGCGTGAACATGTGGGTGGTGTTATGCAAATCTTCCCACATCGTGACGTAGGTATGTGGGGGCGTGTTAGAACGAGCCGTTTTAGTTAGGCGTGGCTGACTCTTAACTTTTATAAAGAATATCTCTTTGGATTTGAGACTTTAGTCTTTGCAACTTTACAGATCTTCTTTATGCACCAAGAGCTCGTAACACTCCAAAGAGAAAGGAAAAATTTAAATCGCATCATATGACCCCTTTAATGATGAAGTATTCTGAGTTAAATTGTCAGTCCCATTTTGAACACTAGAGGGCAGACTGAGAACATTCCTGTGCTGTGAGTCTCTTTAAAGAAATGCTTCTGAAGTTTATATTTATGCATTTGACAGACACTTTTATACAAAACGCCTTCTTTTAAAGAAATGCTTCTGAAGTTTATATTTATGCATTTGACAGACACTTTTATCCAAAACGACTTCTATATTACACAGAGTCCTCCACAGGTCTTCAGTGGGGGGTCTGTGGCATTACTGCAGGCTGTCCCCATAGTTGTTTGATCTCAACCTTACTTTTTTTTAATCCAAAAAGTCAGATAATTAGAATTTTTTTGTTTCATATTTGGTCATTGTTGCCATTTGAGTCAGAGCTGTGTGTGTGTGTGTGTGTGTGTGTGTGTCTGTGTGTGTGAGAGAGAGAGCTGAGATGCCTATGATGCCTGACAATGCTGTCTAAGTAGGCAGCTCAGTGAGTTGTGAGACGGAGCCATTACGTGCTTAACTCGGAATATGCAGTGGATAGTGATGGGTGGAGAAAGGACCGTTTGCAGCTTTACAGATCTTCTTTATGCACCAAGAGCTTGTAACACTCCAAAGAGAAAGGAAAAATTTAAATCGCATCATATGACCCCTTTAATGATGAAGTATTCTGAGTTAAATTGTCAGTCCCATTTTGAACACTAGAGGGCAGACTGAGAACATTCCTGTGCTGTGAGTCTCTTTAAAGAAATGCTTCTGAAGTTTATATTTATGCATTTGACAGACACTTTTATCCAAAACGACTTCTATATTACACAGAGTCCTCCACAGGTCTTCAGTGGGGGGTCTGTGGCATTACTGCAGGCTGTCCCCATAGTTGTTTGATCTCAACCTTACTTTTTTTTAATCCAAAAAGTCAGATAATTAGAATTTTTTTGTTTCATATTTGGCCATTGTTGCCATTTGAGTCAGAGCTGTGTGTGTGTGTGTGTGTGTGTGTGTGTCTGTGTGTGTGAGAGAGAGAGCTGAGATGCCTATGATGCCTGACAATGCTGTCTAAGTAGGCAGCTCAGTGAGTTGTGAGACGGAGCCATTACGTGCTTAACTCGGAATATGCAGTGGATAGTGATGGGTGGAGAAAGGACCGTTTGCAGCCCAGTTGGTTCAGTGTGTTGAAGAGTGTGTTGTGCATGTTCGGCTGAGGGCAGAGGGCATCTACACCACATAGAGGTATGTCAAAATATAATATTAATTACTTAGGCTTATCTGTAACACTCTGACCATCTTAGGTAACTTTTATATTAAACTTCAGCCTCATTTTGTATCTCATTTTCCCGAATGCCACTGTCAGATCAACTGATAATGCTGCTGTTTGAGTATTAATAAATAGTCAGTTTATTAATGATCAGTTTATCAAGGTCTAATATCTTTTTATTTTTATTTAGTATATTTACTAGATTTTATTTTAAAATGTAAATAGTATTCTGCATATGTCATAACAGAAAAATATATAGTTATACAGAAACATTATATATTATATATAAATATCAGTAAAGTAAGTTAGTTAACTGTTTTCAGCAAATCCTGTCTACTAAAGATTACAATTATATATTCCTTGTAGAATATTTTTGTACTGTTCAAACACAAATTAATGATGTTCTCTGAAATATGTAATTATTCACGACTGATGTTAAAACTAAACACAAATATTCATTCTTTATTATTTTGGAAAAATAATACAGTCATCAAAACTCTGAAATAACACAACTGGAGAAGTTTGAAGTTATCTTATACTTGAGCTGGACACTTATTGATTGCTTTTCTTTCACTATCCAATCCAGATTCAAATTAATTATTCATATGTAACCACCATTTCTATTTGTTTACAAACTCATTTTAAGCTTTTAAGTGTATATCGTTTCTAAATATGTTTTATATATTGTCTTTGTGTCTGTAATAGAACACAGATGGCAGCCCTTCAGTAAGATGTTGGAAACATCCCTAATTGACAGAAATCATTGTCTTCATTTTCATCCCACAAGACTGACCTGGACCGTTAAATGCCCTCTCAATATAAAGGGTACAAACGATTTAAAGATAGATAAAACTGTGGACTTTTAATTTTACAGCTATATCTTATAATTTGGCACTATAGTTACTGAAATACTGTGTTACCTTTCCACTAGGCTAAGATGTTTGTGGTCTCCTTGCCAAGATGTCTACAGATCTGTGTGTCTTTGGTAATGGTGTCCAGACTACAAGGTGCGTGATTGTAGTAATCTCTTGTTCTATGCGTAAGTGGTGCGTTTCAGTTGGTTTCAGTATTGGTGTGTCTCAGGCAGGGTTTCAGCTCCAATACGTCTGGAGGCCCTGGTTGAACTGCCCTTCACTCTGAGCTGTACGCTTGTCAAGGCCAGAGGAGAATCGGTTCATCAGATCCGCTGGCTGGATGTGCAGAACCAGACGTTAATCGCTTACCAGCCTGGTGAAAAAGACAGTGTGAGTGGACAACAGCACGTGGAGCTAGCTCCTTCACCACGAGATGCCAGTGCCGTCACCATCAAACGGGTCAGCTACAGGGATGAGGGCTGTTACACTTGCATCTTTGATGTTTATCCCAAAGGCTCAAGAGAAGGACAAACCTGCCTTACTGTCATAGGTGAGTCTTGGACAAGATGTATTTGGAGGATGCATCTACACACTTCCATTGACAGTGAGCATCAATGCTTTCCAGTAACACTTGGACCTTTTATTGTTTATATCACTATTTTGTTCCAGACTGTACTTCTGTGCATTAATAATGATGATTTTTTTTTTGTGAGTCCTTTTGCAGTTTACATTGAAACGGCGGTAGGTAGTGACAAGTTGTCATGAGTAAGTCATTGAATCAGTCACACGACTGATTCCTTAAAAAAATGCTGATTCACTCAAGAATCTGTGTTTCAATGTAAAATGCTGTGCCCTCTGGGCAATCATTATAAAATTAACTGTTGTTCCTTTTGAGGTGTAATTACAGTCATTTCTTTCTCACTTTGGAATGTAAATTATAGCTGCTTTTCTAAAATGAGACAGACTCTATGACATATGTGGCCAACAAATGCAACCTCCGGAGGACTATCCTTCGAAATAAGACACCGCTAAGGAATGAGTCATTGAATCATTCACTCAGAACTCATTGGTTTAAAACACTGATTCATTTAGGAACAAAACAACACTACCATGTAACGAAGGGGAGATCAGATACTGAATTTTTGAATCTTGTTCAGCAACATTTTATTCATCTTTATTCACGTCAGTTAGTTCATTTCAGCTGAGTAATGTTGTGTTTTCAATTGCCATATTCAAACACATTCACATTTGTAACCTTTGATCATATTTTGACTCAGGGAATCATTATAATGCACCCAAGCTAAACTATGAGAAAAATAAATTAGTAGTTCACCTCCCGTTCCTGGTCTTTCATTTATTTGTCACGACACTACAGATGCAAAATTAAGGAATCATTCATGAACTTTTGGAGATGCGCAATGCCCTGTGGATTAGAATGACATATTTAATACATAATTGATCATGTGGGGATTGTATTCTGGATGCTCCTTAGGCAGCTATTGTTATGTGTTGACACTGAAAATTGTCATCCCATCTTGGTCTCACTGAGACCTCTTTTAAATTTCGGTGCTTCTACGGCATTGTTGCAAAAACCCCTTTTAAAGAGCATATAGTTGTCTGCTATTAAGTAACAGATTACATGTACTATAGTTTAAAAATACACTATACTATAATGTATTTATAATTATGTATGCATGTGCTATCATGCTACTGTTAGTATAGTAGTGACTTATTTTCATTGTTTTTCAGCAAAGGTGATCTCAGAGGGCAATAAGACGGCAGTGGGTGGTAAACAAGCCTCTCTGGCCTGTCGGTACGGCCTACCGGAGAAAGTCAAGCAGGTGCTGTGGAAGAAGATTGTTAATAAAGCAGAATCCCGTGAAGTTGCATCTTTTGCAAAGCAGAGTGACCCTGTGATTGAAGAAGAGTTTGTGGACCGTGCGAGCCTGAGCCCTTCCCTGTCTGACACGCAGCTCACGTTATGGCCGGTCCGAGCTGAAGATGAGGCCTGCTACACCTGTGAGTTCCACATGTACCCGGACATCACTAAGAGTGCCACAAGTTGCCTCACTATATTTGGTACGTCCCTCAAGGCTTTAGTCCACAATTACAATGAAATCTTCGTAAGCTGGATGATGCTGATATTTGTTAAGCTGGTTGATGATGATATTCAGGGCTGCACCAATATTTGATATACTTGACGCTTGCTTTGTTTTTTGTTAGCATGACATAAAGTTACATTTTTGGGGCTGGTCTAAGCACTTGTCAATGTCAAAATGATTGAGACCAATCAAATAAAAGAAGGCGACATTTACTGTTCACACATACAAACATGAATTCCAGTGCAGCGCTTCAGGTGTTAATGGTATGAAAGTTTTATGACAGAAATGTTGAACGACATACAGCTGCCAGATATCCAGTGATGTAAACTACAGTACTCAACGTCTTTGTCAAATTTCACACAGCAAAATCCCCAGAGTTAAATCAACTCTGCTCAGAGTACATATTGTCCCAATCTACAGAGTGTTAAAGTAACACTGAAGCAGAGTTACCACTGTTGAAGATTATGTGATATGTTTTCATGTCTAAAAGCCTGAGCAGTAGTTGTTCATCTTCAACATTGTTAACAGCGGGTTTTCTTTACTAATGCTCACTCATCAATTAATTAATTGCTTAATTATCCCATTAACTTTAACTCGGCTTCAGTGTTACTTTAACACTCTGTAGATTAGGACAATATGTACTCTGAGCAGAGCTGATTTAACTGGGGATTTTGCTGTGCACTATTTTGAATGGAATATATAGGCTGAATCAGGTAACACATTATTTTGATAGTCCACTGTAGACAGCTAGGTAACTTTGCGACTAGATGTCAACTTAGAGTATTAGTAGATTGTCTGGTTAATATCTGCTAACACATTATTTTGATGGTATTTCAACAGACATTCTACTACTATGATCTTTGCAAGTTCGTGTCAACATATTCTACTAACCCAAACCCTAACAATATTTTGATATTTTGGCTTGCTGATTTTTCGACTCTGAACTGTGAAACACAAGTCTAGTTCAGTGTATGCAGCTGACAGGATTGTAGCAGAGTCGTAGAGAGGGCAGGACAAGGCTTAACATACACAGGACTGGAGAAAATGAGGACAACAGACAGAGAGAGAGAGCGATATGAAAGAAACTGATTGTAGGAGGGTGAGACTGTGAGATCTATGATTTATTCAGACTGTGGCCAAAGTGAATGACTGTGTCACTGTTCCACTAAACACAGTGCTTCTCTCTATGTGCTGCTCGCATTCTCCTGCTCTGTCTCTCTCAGATTGATGCTCACTTTGTGCCTTGTTGCTCTGTTGTATTTGTTCAAACTAGGATGGAGCCTTCAACGGATACTTAAAGGGATATTTTAACCCCAATGTCATGGTTTTGTAAGAATGTGAAATGCTTGTCCTTTGTTGGAATGCCAAGCGTATACCTCTTTTTGAGCCAGTGCTGTGGTTTCAATGGGCATCTCTGTAGCTTTGAACTACTGACGAAAATATGTGGGCTGCAAACAGTCAGAGATGGCATGCAGTTCTGTTGATTTACAAAGCCAACTCTTGCTTTTCAAGCCAACACAAATGGTTATCATTCAGTAGAGTCAATGCATGATTATGTGTTGGGTTTATACAAAACATAAACCTATATCCTATATCATTTACAGTCCTGCCAAAACCTCAAGTAAGCTACAAGACCACATCTCCAGGAGTGATCGAGGCTAACTGTACTGCCGTGGCCCGGCCACAGGCTGAAATAGTGTGGAACGTGGAGGGGAATAACCAGACCATTGGTCCACCTGTGACCACTGCTATCCAGCAGAGTGACGGGACGACTCTGGTCATCAGCACCTTGACCATCCAGGCTGGACTCCTGAAGGATGTCTCTGTCAAATGTCTCGTTCATCATAAAGGACTGGAGACTGCCATTGCTGTTTCCATGAACACTAAAAGTGAGTGTTCTTATAATGCACATTGATTACGAATGTTTATATGGAATACATTTGTAAATGTAAATTTTCCTTGATTGGTTTGAGGTAAATGGGTTCATTGTGCTTTGAAAACATACTGTAGCTTCCAAAAAGAAACATCCAGTGAAACCATGCTGCAAAAATGTCTTGTTCTGAAATTGGTAATAAAAGTTTAAATTATATTAGTATTCTGACACCAAAATGAGAAATGATAAAGAGTCATATACAGAGTCTTGAAGGCAAAACAAGAAAAGAAAAAAAAAACTGTTTAATTTGAATTAAACAGGTTTCAGGTTTTCTGGGCTCATCATTCAGTGTTTTTCCTGGCCCTTGCTCTACGTTCATCTCTATAAGAGCTGCTTTTTGGACAGAATGCAGAGCGACGCTCAGGAAAACTCATCTTTAAAGCCAAGAAAATACTACCTCTGTAGTTTTTTAAAAGGATGGAAGAGGAGCAGAGAGCCTGATAAAGGTCTGAGGCTGTCATAGCATGCATCTGTCACCGTCCTGCTGGTGAAACACTTGGCACTCTTTTTTTCCGTTCTTTTCTCCTCACATATTTAGTGATCATCATAAATTATATATATCATTTGAAAGCTTACAAACTCAAAATTCATCCTGTGAAAACAATTCTGACATTGTGTAACTATGGAAATGGCACTTTAAAATCTTTTAGTGGTCTCCTCCCTCTTAGTGGGCGTTTTCAAGTGTCATGTTACAAAAAGTATTACGGTATTTTACAATCAAAACTTTTTGTGATCTTGACAAAATACATATCGTTAGAAAGGTCTGAGTCTCAAGATTCCATATTTGGTGTCATAGAAGTAATATTGAGAGAGAAATTTGTGATGGAAAAAATGCATTAAAAAAAATTCTATAGAGTTTGGATGTCACCCGGTGGCTATTTTTGGTATAACGTCTAAACAAAATTTCATTTTTTTATATCAACTTCAAATCTGGTACATCATTTAGTTTAACATATGGCTTTAATTTTAGATTAAAAAATATGTTGTAAAATATTTCTTTTATATACAATAAAAATATAGTACAGTACATTTTCTTTAAAATGTATTGAAATGTAAACTTCTATAACTTTTTTAGACTTCTTTTTTTTTTATGACTTCTGCAATAATCTGCCTTTTAAAAGAGACCAACTGTAGGTCTGTATTCCAAAGCGTTCATGAATTATAATAATTTAAGTCTGGATAGCGCACTTTTACGTATATGTTCAAAAATGGGGGGTGACATGGGGTTTTAAATGAATTACATCCATTCATTGGTTTTTGTCTTTGTCAGTATGTAACATAGAGTTAGTTATGCATATGTTCCCTGTTTAATTTGACCTTTGGCTGCATCTCTGTTTAAAACTAGAGAACTTGTTGTCATTGCAGTAACAGTGTTTCTTCAACTACGGGCCACTTTTGGCCCTGTGGAATTTTAGAAAACAAACTCATTGTTGGAGAGGGAACTTCTCACTCTCTTCACACGCTAGTTTATTTGTCCATTAAAATTGTCCAACAGTGGACATACATGAATCACTGGAGAATGTAGCCATTTTCAAATTGTCATTTCCACCATCTCAAAATCTTCAACATTTTTTTGAATAAACTGGCAGACTTTGTCTTGCTAAGGCTGATTTCATAGTTAGCAGGTACTGTATCTTAAATACAGAAAATTTAATAATATTTTAATACTTTTACAATTTGACAGAATTGGAAAAGATTTTAAGGTTGGTTGGGTTTGGGACCTAAAAAAAAACCTGATTACTTAAAACAAACTAAAATAAAACTCTACTTTTTCCCAAAGTTCCCATTTCTCATTTTCATTTAGTTTAACGTGGCTAAAATAACTAAAATTTAAAACTGAAATCAAAATGAATAAAAACTCTATAGTTTTCAAAAATGTCAAAAATAAATGATGCAAACAAGGTAAAAATATGATTCTGTTATTTATATCACTCCAACACCTCCATATAACATGAATAAAAAAAAAGATAAAATGTTATATTTTTATAAAAATCATAACATCAACAGGACACAAAAGTGGCCAAAGTTGAAGAAACATCCAGTGATTAAATACTCAGAAGCCATTCCAAAGTGAAAAGGTAACTGAAAACAAATGCTCGAAAAGTAGCATCCAATCTGTGGTTTCCTCTGTTTCTCTCACTAGTTGGCACAGCGCTCGCTATCTTGATCTCTGTGACTACTGTAGCGTTCCTTCTAGTCCTCTGCCTCTGTTTCTGTTTGTGGAAGTGTGTCCTGCGTAAGGATGGTGAGTATTTAGAACGCCATCCAAAAGATGAATGAAAACAATCCAGAATAGCCAAGCCAAATGTTACATCAAAATCATGCAATCAATTTAATATACAAATATTTAAAGAGACACACATTTCTGTCATCATCAAGCCAACCCTCACCATGCAAAGGTTGATCTTAGCTCTCTCAGACGGCTGTCATGACACATTCACACCAGTTCTCCTGTCCCTAAAATAAGTGAATGTTTTTTTCATCTTTACCTAAAGCCACTCACAACTTCATCAGAGAAGAAGTGTCATTGTATCATATGAGTGCATGATCTGCAGTAAATTAATCACGATTTTTGTGTGTGTGTTTGTGTTGTTCACATGTTCTACATGAGCAGAGCCTGAAGAGCATCAGGTACCGAGAAGACAGAGAGGGACAGACAGTTGAATGTAGGCGTCTAAGCCTCTTCCTGTGACCTATTTCTGCTTAACTGTGATGACCTACTTCCTTCAACACATTCAGATCTGATTTACTGATATGGGATATTAGTCAAGTGTTTGGTCATGTTTCCATAGAGTGAATCATTTTGATTGTGGCAGACGACAAGCTTCAGTTCTCTTTACAATACGGATATGCTGAGACACCGGTGAAGATGAAAATCTACTGTCATCATGTTCCCTGCTTTTCCAGCCAAAGAATCCCAGTGACACATCTCTACATTTTGAAGAATTTCTAAATCCATCACTAATATGAAGGTTGCAGAAGGCATTTTTATCTTGGTACAGAGGGGAGTTTAAACTTAGTATTTGTCTGTTTTAATACCCATTTGACGGTGTAAAAGGACAACAAAAACTTCTCAAAACTTCTTAACTTCTTGAATTCTATGAAAAAACAAACAAACAAGAAAAAAACTTAGCTGTTTACTCAAAGAAAGTGTAAGAAAACTTCATTGTTTCATCATTGTGAGTAATTAAAATGTTACAGTGAATTGCACTCTATTGAAGAAAAAACATTCTGTCATATCTTTTTGGATTCTGATAATTATATTATGATCAGTTATATTCCTTTATAGTTTATAATCATGACTTTGCTCTGTCCCTTCATTTTGAAGGTGGACATTCACTCTGCAGATGAAAGGATGTAAGTCCAGTGAGGTAGACCGAGCACACAGTTGTTTTTCATTAGATTGTTCTTTTTTAATGTTTAATGATTAGGCAGACTGAACTAGAGATATAGAGACTAACTAGAACTATTCAATTTAAGTTCTTCGGTCTCTGAGCCCAAAGCAATGGTGGGAATAGAGCTTGTGACCGGCTCGTCAAAGCATTCACTATATCAGTGGAAATGCATTATCTGCGGTCTGGTGTGCAATTAAATGGCTGACAAATACTGTGGATCAGCTGGTTTAATTACTGGGAAATCGTGTTGCTTTGATTGTTGTATTAATACACATGTGCAAGCCAATGTAATGATAACAACTGATAAAGAGTTTTTATTTTGTCCTATGTATGTTAAATGTTTTGTCATATCCCTGAGGAAGTGAGAGTATAGGCCACATTTAAAATGAATAAATTCACTCTAAATTCTTTCTATTCAGTAACATAATGTACATAATGTGAAATAAAGTACATTGTTTTCCTGGTGTAATATATGGATGCTGTATTTATTGTGTGCTTCAAGCTGGAAATTGTAAATTATATTGACAAGTATTTAGTGCATTCCTGCACCAATAAGCAAAAGTGTCCATGCTTTGATTTTATTGAATCTAGTATGAAATTGATCAAATTCTGTTCTATTAAATGACATGGTATGGGTTGTACAACATATGCTTTGTCATGTAGAGGTTTATTCCATTGGCGTATTGATGTTTTTGAATTATTAAGGGAAACAATATAGAAAAATTAATTGTCACACTTTATTTTAACGTCCAATTCTCGCCATTAACTACGACTTTTGCCTCAATAAACTCCTAATTACTGCTTAATGTAATGTAGTTAATCTTAATGTAGTTGTTAAGTTTAGCTATTGGGTAGGATTAGGGATGTAGAATATGGCAGTGCAGAATATGTGCTTTATAAGTACTAATAAATTGCCAATATGCTAGTAATATCCATGCTAATAAGCAACTAGTTAATAGTGAGTATTGGTCCCTATACTAAAGTGTTACCAAATTAATAGATGACACAGTAATAATTTTAAATATTTAAAACAGTGACTATTTCATCACATGCAGAATCCATTAATTGTGATGCAAATTTGCTGGCAAAGACATGAAAGAGGAAAATGAAGTCCAGTACATGCAGTTCTTTTATTTGTGGAATATTCCGTTTTCCACATTCTTGATACACATGGGATTACTTAAACCTTCTGAGAGGGAAACTTATTTTTCTTTTGTCCTTGCTCCACTGGTCCTTATATGGGAATATTTTAGGTTGTTTAAATCAGAATTTTGATTTAAAAAAAAAAAACAATACACTTAAAGCTGGCTTTGTGTTCCTGTAGCTGGTAAAGCAGGTTGCTTAACAATGCCTTTTAAAAAAAAAAAAAGAAGAAAAAAAAAAAACTTTTTTTTTTTAAACTGGATAAAAGTCTTTAAATGCTTAAATGTAAATGTGATGTCAGTTTAAATAACACATTTTGGTTTCTCACAGTGCTTCATACATTCTGACAACAACATTGAAAAGAACATTTTTGTATCTGCATTCCCGGAAAAATGTGTTTCAGCTTGGTATCTTGCCAAATTGAACTGATTTTACACTGAAGAATTCCAGATTAATAGATCTAAACCTGCCCTTATGTTCTCATGTCAGACGGCTGGTGCAACAGCTTTGTTCAGTTGTGAAAACAGACAGCAGTTTGTTCATGAGATAACAGAGAAAGGCTAAGTAGATTGCATGTGGCCATGTGACTAACAGCTCAAATTCTGTTTCATTAGACATTTATTTGATATGCATCTGTTTTGGCCTTGTGACTCTTCTGGCTTCCTCCAGTCTGAGAAATGTCAGGTTTAAGGTCAAAATGCACTACACAACTTTTAAAACCTGAACAGATTATTAGGCATCATACACTTACTGGCCTTGGTAAATGGTTTCAGACACAAACTGGCATCATACACTAAACAACTAAGACTTTCAATTCATTCAGAACACAACGAACTCTAGTTGCTAGAAAATGCATGACAAATGAAAACAGTATACGTGTCATAAATATTCAAAATATCAAACATGTTTGATATCCTCAACTGGATGGAATGGTCTGATTTAATCTGTGAGTAATTTTTGAGCCTTTATGTTGAAAGTCGACACATCTGAATATTTGGTTGAAGTGTTCTGGAACAGTGTTGTAAATACAACTTAACCACTGATTTCTAGTCGTGTCCCTTCACGACATGGAGGCAGCAGCAACAATACTACAGCGAGAATAAAAGTTACGCCTTCTTTCTTTGCGTGAACATTTGGGCGGTGTTATGCAAATCTTCCCACATCGTGACATAGATATGTGGGGGCGTGTTTAAACGAGGCGTTTTAGGTAGGCGTGGTTGACTCTTAACTTTTATAAAGAATATCTCTTTGGATTTGAGACTTTAGTCTTTGCAACTTTACAGATCTTCTTTATACACCAAGAGCTTGTAACACTCCAAAGAGAAAGGAAAAATTGAAATCGCATCATATGACCCCTTTAATAAAATATTGGCTATAGCTTTGCAATCAGTACAAAAGGATGTGGTGATACAGTTGTAACCATAGAAGAACATTCACACAGAGTAAGTTACTTCACCATCTACTGGTTTTTTATCAAGGGTCAGATTTTAGTTACGGTGAATCAAGCCAGACAAGTGAGACATCATTATGTGGAATAATTCATAATTAATTGTTCTGTTATATAACATATCTCTGTAGAATATCAAATGCAACAGTCATTACATGCATTTTTTTTCATGTGCTTTCATTTGTCTGAACTCATAGATGTGATCAAGCTCCAAGCAATACGGAAAACGAGTCCCTCTTAAATATAAGCCTCTAAAAAAAACGTATTATACATTTTTCAAAAATATCAATGGATGATCAACTACAAGAAAATTATATATTGTTGTAAAATTACAAAAAGCTTCAGGTCAATGGGGAGTGGTGTGAAGTGATGGAGAGATGCATATACAACCTGGCTTATATTTATTCTGTACATTTATTTTGTCATTCATTGGTTTGTGAATGAGATTGACTTCTCTGCTAACTTCTCTTGAACTCTGCTAATTTAATTCTAACATGACATGCACACTTTCTGTCCTGACTTTTCTTTCACTTTAAATGCTTGGCAGTGTGACCCAGGTATAGACCTTTCCCCCACTGCTGTATGTATTCCCCACAGCTTTCAAATGGTTTCAAACTGGTTACTCTTAGTAGACTGAAGCAATATTTAGAGCAATGGCGCCATCTACTGGAGCCAGTTGCATAAACAGCCACTATATTAAGACTGTCTAACCAACTAGAAGTTAGCCAAGAGGCATTCCCCCACTGCTGTATGTATTCCCCACAGCTTTCAAATGGTTTCAAACTGGTTACTCTTAGTAGACTGAAGCAATATTTAGAGCAATGGCGCCATCTACTGGAGCCAGTTGCATACACAGCCACTATATTAAGACTGTCTAACCAACTAGAAGTTAGCCAAGAGGTAATTAGTCTTACTTTTCAAAATTAAATAAGACCAATTTACATTTTTATGTAACTGACTTTAAAAAGTTACAATCAGTCTCAAATTTGAAAAATAGATTAACTTTTAAGACTAGTCTAAGCAACTGACCACTGGCTTTAGGTGTTTTTCCAGTTCTGCCAAGGGATGCATTGAGTCAAATTTAGTAACATTGCTCTTAGGACTCAACAAGCACAACAAAAGTGAGACATCCAGTTAAATTGGACAAATAAGTTTCATGATCAATTGCATTTGCTTTTTGTGGGCTGGACTTAATGACATTTTAAAACAACTTGTTCCCCTGCCTGTTGATGGCCCTCGAGGGAGGCTTCAGGATTTTGTTAAGCAATTGCTGGTAACACTTTATTTTATGGTGTCCTTGTTACACACGTTACATGTACTTACTATTATAATAACAATTAATTATGGATAATTACATGCAAGTAACCCTAATCCTAACCCTAACCATATAGTAAGTACATGTAGTTAATTAATATTACTCAGTACTTAAATGTATAATTACACTGTAACAAGGACACCTTAAAATAAAGTGTAACCCTATTGCTCTCTCGGAGTGGTTTCACTTTCATTGTTGGTGAGGTGGAGGAGGACGATCTATGCCACTCGCATACTACAGACCCTGAGCCTGAGCCCACACCTACCTCAGACCCTGAGCCCAATCCCTCCAACTCCTACTGTAATGTCATCCCATCATCCCCTCTAATGTAACATTCCTCATAATCTCCTGCGTATTTAAGCTCTAAGTTGGTTCTGTTCATTGTCCAGTATTGTCTCCTCCATTTTTAGGTGTTTTTCCAGTTCTGCCAAGGGATGCATTGAGTCAAATTTAGTAACATTGCTCTTAGGACTCAACAAGCACAACAAAAGTGAGACATCCAGTTAAATTGGACAAATAAGTTTCATGATCAATTGCATTTGCTTTTTGTGGGCTGGACTTAATGACATTTTAAAACAACTTGTTCCCCTGCCTGTTGATGGCCCTCGAGGGAGGCTTCAGGATTTTGTTAAGCAATTGCTTATGTTTGGTTCTGTTCATTGTCCAGTATTGTCTCCTCCATTGTTCACTACAAATATGTTGTGTTTGTTGCTCCTGCATTCTAGGATTGTTGGATTACCTTCTTTTTGGTTTCTGTAAATAAAACAGCTGTCAAAGATTGTTATGCTTACTCAACTATTCAAATTGTCCTAAGTAACACTGTAACACTGTTTTGTCAATTTG